AAACTAAAACAACTGAATTGTTAGCGAAAAATCACATGGTAATACAACACATAAAAATATATAGTTTATATATACGAACATAAGTACAGCAGCGTAGCAACACTTTGTTGCATGAATTGCCTATAGCAAGCGGTAGATGCATTGATGATGGCCAACATACATTTACTACACAATAGTAATGTTACTATAATAGTAATGTATGTAAGAATGTTCGTTGCGCTTCGCCTGATTAAAATAATGGCTTTAGTTGCGCCGACTTGAATTCAGTGCAACGGCAGCAACCTACACGCTGATGGTGATTTATAGCACAACTCTTACACACACACACAAATACAAACTTACACTCTTTTATGCACTTTTGTTCGCGGGCATCCGCTGTGGCAATTAGTGAACCATGTCAGTGGCTAGTTTTGGTTAAAAGTGTCAAGTTCGGGTTTTCACTAACAAAAACAGTAAGCACATATAAACAAATCATGCTGCAAATAATAAAACAAAGGAAAAACAAAAACAGACATAAAATGACGAAATATACTCCCACATGCGAAGTTCGCGGCAGCCCAGCGTTGATTTCTGCGTACACACTGAGCTCTTTGAGTGGGTTTATGCAGATGAAATTTGTATTTCCACACAAGTTGACAACGTGCACACAATCAGTTGTAACTGTCTTAGATTTAGTTGTTTACTCATTAAAATTTCAAGGGTATCATGATTTAATTATTTAATTACCAAAACAGACAAAAAATTAAAAGAAAATATTATTTTGGTAGATATGTTTTGAGATTTGAGTGTATAAGTATAAGTGTATAGTGTAAGTGAGTGTGAGAGAGGCAATTTACAGTAATTAATATGTGGTAAATTTGAAAATAAAATATTAATAAGTTGGAAAATCGTGTTTCTGATAAAAACAGTTTTGGAAATTATGTTTATGGTAGGGTTAGCAAACCGGAAAAAGGTGTTGTCGGGTGTTCATTTGAGAACTAAACCGTTGCCCATGGTCATCGAAAACCAAAATCATCTACCAATATAAGTTTAATTTACCCACAGCGATGAATCGAGTAAATGAAATATTTCTTTAATACCACGCAAACTTCAAAAAATAAAAATTCCGGAGAAAAAAATATTAGACAAACAAAATGTCCTAGGAATTTGGTGCAGGTAGGGAATACTATATAACCAGATTTAATGTATAGCATAAGGTTAGGCACATAGTGAATACAAGTCTACTTTTTCTTGTTTCATGCAGACGAGATCTATCTTAAAATCTCAATTAGGACAAACCGGTCAAGGTATTTTCTTATGACTCCCGCTTAGCGATTCGTAAAAAGAAAAGCATTACAGGTTATTTTTACAAGAAATGTGATCTTTTAATCAAGCTACTTTCCAACGCTTCTAAAATGTAGAAAACGTGGTTATCACCTATTGTAATCTCGAAGAGTACACCTTTTTATATGTAGAGGAAACCTGGATTAAGTTAAATAACAAAAATGGTTCTAGATGCCAAAAGAGGGACTTTGTTCAAGTAAATGGAGAAAACATAAGCTTTGTGAGTCCGGTCATAATTATTAAGTAATCCAACACACATATTCAACATTGTTGTAGGGATTAGACAAGGTTTTGGAGAAAATTTCAATGCGATTTGAGAAAACATACTTCCGCCTGAAATTGTGCTTCGTACTTCTACAAATTTCAAAAAAGGTTAGGACAGGTACGCGATCAAACTTAGAAAAAATATATATTATTTTTAAGGAAGGGATTTTGTTTGTAAAATTAAATGACTTAAATTTTTTTGATGCTAAAATTACGGTATTTGAGATTTTTTACTTTCAAGCCCACATGACAAAAATACTATATAGATACATAAGAATTTTTCAACCACATCAAAATCCAGTCTCAGATTATTATAAGCATTACATGAATTATAGACTTCAGCCTTAAAAAGCTCTAGTATGTGCTGCTTAATCCATATCAATCGCCCCAGAAGATATTCCACTTTAGCACATGAATGAAATTCCTTAACAAAATCACTATAATTTCGCCACTTATATTAAATTTAGCATAAACGTATGCATAAAAAAAGTTCTGTAGTTAACAACAAAGCACAAAAGCAATGCAGTGCGCAACAAAAGTTTTGCTGTTACTCACCTTTTGAGAGAAAGAAATCGGTGCAGTTGATTTAAATTGTAATGCCATACAATCAGCAAACCTGCAAGTCAGCGGCGATGCGATGCAGCAGGATGTGTGCGAGATGATCTCGTGCGAGCAGCCGTATATGGCGCGAAATGCGTGTACGCTGACAGCGACAACAACAAGAGCAGCATGAACAACACAGCAGCAACAGCGAGCACTCTACGGAATACTTTATTTGTTTCTTGTTCTTTTTGTTGTTGTGCTTGTATAAACTAACTATGTTGTATTGAGGTCCGTAATACCTCTAGTGAACGTATTAATGGCGATTTCTTCGTGCGGTTTTGTTTTTGGCGGTGTAATCGCAATCAACAATCGCAAAATCCAAGTAAATGCGCTCACATACACATGTACGGATAACACTTGTGTATTCACAATCACTCATAATATGTGCGCAAGCGTGTTGTTTCTTGTATGTTCGTCGGTAATTTAGCTCTGATATGGCAACACGTTGTATTCGGCGCTTGCTGCGTGTAGTAGATGGAAATGAAAAGTGATAATTGCAAAATTACATGCCACTTTGCAGCGCAACAGTTGATTTCATTTTTCGATTATTTGGCTAATTTATGCGCTTGTGTTTCACCTGCATTCCCTGCTCCTTTGTAATTTTTTGTTGTTGTTTGCTTAGCAAGCGTGCGCTTCTCTTATCATAGCTGTTATTCACTTTCAGTTGGTTTGGTTGAAAATTTTACACCTTTAAATATAGTGCATGTTATAAATATTTGAATTTAATTATTTTGGTTTTTCACTGAAATATTGCTCCTTCCATCTGTAATTACAAGAAAAGTCATTTATTAATTGATTAGTATTTTTTAAGTAAATAGTTATTAATAAAAATAAGTTTTTTTATCTTTGACTGTGCTGAATATGAAAGGTAATCTGTAAATGTAAGGTAGAAATCAGTTTTCTTTTCACACATAATAAAACTGACATTATTACTATAAAAATTCCAAAGATGTTTATCGAACGACACACTGTAATATATTTGAGATATTACATTTTCCGATATAAAAGATAAGCAGCTTCAATTTTGGAAAGGTATCATGAAATTATTATTACTAATTATTTTTAATATACTTACTTATACAACAAAAAACTGAAAAAGCGCACTTTGTGCGAAATTAACAAAAAAAAAAAAAATCATCTCACTTTCATATTTCGGTAGAACAATCCAAACATACCAACATTTTAAATCGATATTTCAATATTAGTTACATCATTTTAAAGTTTAACCGCTGGAAAGATTACTAGGAGACTAATGACTGATATTATGTATAGTATGTACTCTGAATTTTGGTGGGCCAAAAATAATAAAAAAAATTTCGAGGCAAATTTTGTTCAAAGATGAGCTATATTTCTGGCTCAATGTGTAAGTGATCCAGCAAAATTGCCGACTTGGCACGAATAGCCACAAGATAAGATTCAAAAGCTGCCATTTTATTCAGTAAAAAAAAAAAAAACAACGGTTGGGTGTGGTTTGTGGGTCGGTGGAATCATCGGTCCATTTTTCTTCAGAAATTATTCCGGTGAGAACATAATTGTCAATGGCGATCATTATCACGCCATGAAAACCGACTAGTTAATGCCTGAAATTGAAGCTCGTGATCCCGGCAATATTTGCTTTCAACAAGAAAACACCACTTCACAGACATCGCAGTTGTTAATGGATTTATTGAGAGAACAATTCTGTGAGCAAATAGTTTGACATTTTTAGCTTTAGTCGATTAGCCAGCATAGTCGTGTCACACCGTTAGACTTTTTAGTGTGGAATCATCTGAGCTGTAGTCGCGGCCATCTATTTTAAAGAGATAATGTTCAAAAAATAAATGGCAAAAAATGTTCTTTCGAAGGAAAATTAACATTCCCAGTAAATTTGAAGATTATGTATGTTTTTTTTTTTAAGTAGGGAACCTCGAAATGGCTCACCTTTTATATTCAATATTGGATACTTGAAAGCACTAAAAAGTTAATAATGTAAAAATTGAAATGATTAACATTTCTCATTACTAATTATAGATAGATACATTTATAGCATTCCTCTCACTAATTTTTTTAATATCCAAAATATTATGCTAATGACCACATATGCTTTATACGAATTTACACATATTCCTAAAGCTTACACATATCGTAAAATGAATCTTTCTGATTTATTGCGTATTTCAAAAAAGTTATAATTAATATTTGTTTTCGTTGTTTTCGTTTTCTTAGCTGTGTCAGCCCACACAAAATCGTTCGCGGTAATGCAGATTTGTTGTAAAGTCAAGAGCGCTGAATAATACTGCAGCAGGAAAAAAGTTGTGGAAGCAACAGAGTGCAACAAAAAGCTCATTTGCTTTATTATATAGTGAAACATGAGACTTTTCGATATGTGAAGATATGTATTTTTCTACTACTCCCCTACTGTTTCTTTCTACAAATGCTCATGCCCTCCTATTTCACTGTTGCTTTAATGCTTATGCGCTTAGATAATTGTAATTTAAGAGTTGTTATTGTATTATAAATTCAGATTAATGCTATTTGACGAACGTTGCATGTATAAAGCAAGCAGCTGCACTGGCAACGGAAAGCATGAAACGTCAGAAGCTAATTTGCTGAACCGGCTCATATACCACTGAGCTTTTTATTTTGAAATTCAGTTCAACAAGAAAATGTTTTTTTTTTCTTTAGACATAATGTTTTGTTGTTAATGTGTACGTGTGCGAGATTAATCGTTCTTATTTTGATTATGGTATAATATTTTTCT